CCTCCTCCTCCTCCTCTTCCTCCTCCTCCTCCTCCTCCTCCTCCTCCTCCTCATCCTCATCCCCCTCTTGTTATTCGTAGTATCCTTCTTATATGATCAGTAGTACTATTATGTTGTTTGGTATTAGTAGTATTAGTATTAGCATTATTAGTATTGGTAGTTGAAATAGTAGTAGTATGAGTGGTAGTATTAGTAGTATGATTAGTATTATTACTAGTACTAACATATGCATTTTTATCAGTACGAGTGCTACTGTTGTTATTAGTATGTGTATTATTATTGTTAGTAGTATTAGTATTATTAATAGTAGTATTATTAGTAGTAGTAGTAGTAGTAGTAGTAGTAATAGTAGTAGTAGTAGTAGTAGTAGTAGTAGTAGTAATAGTAGTAGTAATAGTGGTAGTGCTAGTAGTAGTAGTAGTAGTAGTAGTAGTAGTAGTAGTAGTAGTAGTAGTAGTAGTAGTAATAGTAGTAGTAGTAGTAGCAGTAGTAGTAGTAGTAGTAGTAGTAGTAGTAGTAGTAATAGTAGTAATAGTAGCCGTAGTAGTAGTATTGTTGCTATTCGCATCCGTCGGTTTATTATTAGTATTGTTCTTAGTCGTATTCTTCTTCTCATTAGTATTAGTACGCGTCGTATCATTAGTCTTCGTGTTAGTATTATTAGTCGTATTATGATTATTCGTCGTCTTAGTGTTAGTGCTCTTATTCCTCTTCCTCCTCTTCCTCCTCCTGCTCCTCATCCTCCTCCTCCTCCTCTTCCTCCTCCTCCTCCTCCTCCTCCTCCTCCTCCCCCCCGTCCCCCTCCTCCTTCTCCTCCTTCTCCTCCTCCTCCTCCTCCTCCCTTCCCTCACTTCCATTGTTTCCATCCCTTCCATCCTCTCCATCCCTTCCATCCCTTCCATCGCTTCCATCCCTTCCTTTCCTTCCCTCCATTCCCTCCCCTTCCCTCCCTTCCCTCCCTTCCTCCCGTCCCTCCGTCACCCTGGGAAAAAAACAGAAAGGTACAGATACCGTTGCTCCCGGACCTCTCCCGGTGTGTGTTCTGACCTGAATGTCGAGGCGATTCCAGTGGTGGCGACGAGGGCCGCCCAGGAGGCCCAGAGGGGCGAAACGAGGCAAGGGTTGCCGTATACGCCAGTCAGAAGAAGTAGGTAAAAACATGAAGTACGAAGGCGGATGAAGTACATTGGGCTCAGGCCCTCCCAGAGAGTGACAAAACACGGCAAAAGCATCTTGACTCTTGAAGTAGGAAGGCGCGAAAGGTAGATTGGGATCGGGGCATCGAAAAAATCCTGCTTTCAACGACCAGCGTGTATGGTTACCTACCTCCTCTGAAAGTGGGAAATCAAACGGTACCGATACTGCTACTCCCTGGACCTTTCCTGGGGAGCGTTCTAACCAGGATTTCAAAGCGAATCCAGCGGTGGCGACGAGGGCCGCCCAGGAGGCCCGAAAAGGGAAAAACCAGGGAAGGGTAGCGGCATAGGTACCTTTCCCTACTCTGATGAGTTCCATTGCAGGCCGGGTCTTTACCAGGCCGAGTCCCATGAGCACATGCCAAAAGCGGGTCGAAAACTCGGTTGTGTGCGCGGCCGCGCGCGCCCCACGCGCCCAGAGGGGGGGCAAGGCGGCTCGGCCGCCGGCCGCTGGCCCAGGCGCTCTTCAGACCTCCGCGGGCGACGACGACCACGACGACGAAGACGACGATCCAGACGACGACGACGACGAAGACGACGACGACGCCGACGCCGACCACGACGACGACGACGACGACGACCACGACGACCACGACGACGACGACGACGACGACGACGACGACGACGACGACGACTACGACGACCACCACGACGGAGACGACGATGACATCGACGACGACGACGACGACGACGACGACGACGACGACGACGACGACGACGACGACGACGACGGCGACGACGGCGGCGGCAGCGGCGGCGGCGGCGACGACTTCTGCGGGCGCAGCAGCTGAAATCGCCGAGAACCGACGAAGACGCCCAAAAATTATGCCGAAATCTATACCGATATCGGATCGACCAGATCGGACCCGGTCAGGGTCCGATCTGGTCGATCGCATCGAAGACACCGGGAAGTCGCCGACAGCCGACACCCGAGGCAAGAAGATCGCCAAGAGCTTGCGAAGACGCCCGAAAACCTCGCCGAGAACCGGCGAAGACGCTTAAAAACCGCCGAGGGTCGTCTGGCTCTCGGGTCAGCGCTCGGGCCTCTGGCGGCCGTCCTTCACGGTCCAGGCACCCCAGGAACGCACCCGACGAGGTGCAGCTGCTGAAACGCACCCCGAGGCTGGGAAACCTCCAGGATCCAATGAGAACGTCCAAAGCCTCAAAGTCTTCGAGGCTGCCCCGCCGAAGGCGAGCGAAGGCGCGCGGAAGTCGCCGAGGACAGACTAGGTGAAGAGCCGGCGAAGGGCCGCTGCTGCGCGCGGCCGGGCGGAGACGACGCGTTGAGCAGGGACCGGACGTCCCGGCATCCCTATGTGCCTACCACGGAATTTCTTGGAACGAAATGATGTTCTCAGACCGAGATTGGGTTCTTAGAGCATGAAGCCGACGTGGTATAACAAGATGGCGTCAGCAAGAGATGCTCTAAGAGCAGCATGCGCAAATCACAAACTGTTGTTCAAACTACTGTTATAACATTATTTGGTGTGCCTGTATTGGCAGCAAGCCCAGGGAGGAAGCGAGAAAGGGCTGGCCTTCTCAGAAAGCTCGGAAGGCCTCTGGCCCTCTGAGAAGAGTTCTAAGCCTTCACCGAAGCGGAAAGCTGTTCAGAAGGCGCGACGGCCTCTGAGAAGCCCCGCCGCCCTCTGAGAAGGTCTTCTCCCTCTCGGTTCACCCCCTCGCTCGCCGCCGACTATATAGGCATGAGGGGACCAAAAGGTACCGATACCGCTACTCACCAGACATCTCTCGGGGTGTGGTCTGACCAGAATCTCGAAGCGAATCCAGCGGTGGCGACGAGGGCCTCCCCGGAGGCCCAAAAAGGGGACAACGAGCCGAGGGTTGCGGGCGGTAGCGGTACAGTCATCGGCCTGACCTAAGGAACGATAAATAAGGAACGAAGCTCTTTTTTTCCAAGGAATCACGCGTAAGGAGCGATGTGTATAATGCATAACGCATCAGGAACGGTGAATGACGCATGCAAGCCGAAGGAAGCACCGAGCTCCTTTTGAAAAGCAAGTGTTCCTCATTCAAGCCGCTCACTGTATGATCGGGGAGACGTAAGACCCGGGTACGGGGGACTCGGGTTGGCCCGACGAGGTCGTCAACAAAAATGACGAGGCCGAGCCTGCATTTTGACGAGGCCTCCCGCTGCAGACATCCCACGAAACTCCTCCTCGTCAAAATCCGAGGCGCGGTCGTCCACAAACGATGGCGAACCCGGGTCCTGGCAAACCCGGGTCTTACGCCCCCCCGATATGAGTGCCTCCTCCTCCTCCGGAGGCAAGCCAGGACGCCTCGCCACTGCTCGGGAGGAGGGGGGCGGGCCTCAGAGCGACCCCGGCCTCGCGGGCCGCGGAGCGGCGTGCAGGCCCCGTGGAATTCTCGGCGGCGGCGCCCGCCACCTCGGGAAGGCCCCGCTCCCCTTGGTGGGCTCGTTTTCCACCGCCGCCACCAGCAGCAGGAGGGGGAGGGGGGCCTTCTCCTCGTCCTCGTCTTCCTCCTCCTCCTCATCCTCCACCTCCTTGCCCCTCCAACTCATGGCGGTGGTGGTGGAGAACAGGCCCATCATCCCCCTCCCGACCCAGGACGACCCGCGCTCGACGACGACGGCGGCAACGACGACGAAGACGACGACGACGACGACGACGACGACGACGACGGCGGCGGCGGCGGCGGCGGCGGCGGCGGCGGCGGCGGCAACGCCGACACCGACGACGACATGGACGACGGCGGACGACGAACGACGGACGATAGGGCGGCCGGATCTATACATATCTACTGCTGCTCCTTTTTTCGGTCCCCCGGGACGTTTCGAAAAGCTACAGCGCGCAGGGGCAGGAGTCGACAGCTCGACGGCTGCTTCGCGAGTTGGGAGAATGCGGGCGGCGGGGCGAACCCGGGGGAGGGGGTGCGGGCACGCACTTCGCCAGTCCAAAGCATGTGCCGTACTCCATTGGACGACTCGACACAGGCGCCCAGAACCGCCCTGGCCGCCCCTCCCCCTTAGTCGCCGTCGATGCGCGGGTGCTCGTAAACCCAGCTTATGCCAGGTGATTTCGGGGGGCTTTTCTCTGTGAGTGGCACAGCACCAGTGCGACATCGGGCATAGGATGCCGCATCGCTAGAGCGTGCGTTTCCGTTTTCTCTGACCCCCGCTGGAACCCGGACCGAAAAACCGAGCGGGCGGATTGGCGTCGGCCTCGTCCGGGGGCGAGCGGGTCGGCGTCGGCCTCATAAAGTGATTGCTCGCAGGGTGGGTGATTGGATCTTGTGGAATCGCACTGGCACGAATACCCCCACGCCCGAGAGCGGCCCCGTGCCCCCGAAGCACACCGACGCCGAACTTGCCCCCTGGACGCGGCCGATCGCAGTGGCAGTGAGGGATCTCGGGCCACGCGCACGCATTCACACACTAAGCCAACCATCTCTGCAGCAATCTGGCTGTCTTTTGAGGTCCTCGTCACCGCGGCATTCATCCACGAATCTCACCAGCCCTTTAGGGCGTAGGTGGTCTAGGGGGGTTCCTCTTCCAACCTCCTTCTTCCCCTTCGGGGAGGGGTTTGCCCCTCCCCCTACCCCCTCCCCTGGACCTGGACGGGGAGGTTCGAGACGCGTTGGAGCGTCCCAAATGGCCCAAGACGGCTCCAAGAGCGCCTCAGAAAGCCCAAGATGAGCTCCAAGATGGCTCAAGATAGCCCAAGATGCCTCAAGATTGCTCCGAAGATGCTCCAAGAGGCCCAACGACCGCCCCAAGACGTCCCCAAGAGGCCAAAGAGCTTCCCAGGGAGGCCTCCAAGAAGCCAGAATTCCTCAAACACGTTAGACAATCAAATGATGTTCGCCTTCTCGCCCTTTCGCTTCCGATGGCAATCCGAGGCCTCAAGATGGCTCCAAGTTGGCCCAAGAGGGCCCCAAGAGGGGCCCGAGAGAGCCCCAAGACGGCCCCAAGAGCGCCCAAGAGCGTTCCAAGAGCGGCCCAAGAGGGCCCCAAGAGGCGATTTTAGAGGCTCTAGAGGGGCGACGCTGATTAGAGCTCCCCTCTTGTTTGATCGGTGTTCTCCAAAATGGCCCCAAGAGGCGCCCACGAGGCCCCAAGAGGCGCCAAGATGGCCCCAACATGGCCCCAAGAGGCCCCCAAGAGGCCTCCAAGAGGGCCCCAAGAGGCCGCCATGAGGCTCCAAGAGGCCCCCAAAAGGCCCCAAGAGGCCTCCAAGAGGTCCCCAAGAGCCCCCCAAGAGGACCACAAGCGACCCCAGGTCCCCCCCCCAAGCACCCAAGACGCCCAAGAGCCCCCATTGACCGCCAAGAGACCCCCAAGACGCCCGAAGAGGCTTCCAAATGGCTTCCAAAAGGCTTCCAAGAGGCATCCGAGAGGCACTCAAAATGCTAATGGCCATCCTGCTGGTCCTCGCCCTCATCCTCCCTCTTCTCCTGCACCTTATCATCATAACGCCTCCTCTTCCGCATCCTCCTCCTCCACCTCCTCCTCCTCCTCTTCTCCCCTCCTCCTCCTCCTCCTCCTCCTCCTCATCCCTCCTCCACCTCCTCTTCCTCCTCCGCCTCCTCCTCCTCCACCTCGTCGCCCTCCTCCTCTTCTTCCTCCTCCTGTTTACTATCATTCTCCACACCCCCTCATCCATCCATCCAGCTAGCCTCCTCCGTCTTCTCATCCCTCCTTCGTTTGGCTCGGTTGCCCCCTTCGGTGATCCCACACTTCCCTGGCCACCTCAGCTCGCCAGGGCGTCGTTTCTGGATGGGCTGGTGGGGATACGCGAAGCGTCAACAATTCTTTACGCACGGTGACCTTTCAACCGGGCATTCCGAAATCTATTCATATCGTTGCGCGCACCCGCCACTGGCAATAACGTCGGGGCTGTGTTTTGGCGGTGCGCACGTCGCAAGGGCATGTCCATGCGACTGTGGGCCGCGGGCGGGCCTGACGAACACCCCGCCCAGCAGCGAAACTGAAAATACCGAAAATCGGCCCCGGCGTGGGGGCGAATATGCAGAGCTGAGCAACACCTATGTCTTACCATGTTGCCAGCTTGCAGGAAACGCATTGCAGTCGGAGTGCGATGGCGAACGCTCTGCTGCCTAAATGCGCGGGGCAATTGTGCGACGTGATTGCGCGCGCAGCTCTTTCGTATTGCCGCATCATGTATGGCAATGATACGTATCAACATGGACACTCTATTGTATATACATGTTATGTTTGGAAGACCTGCGTGACATGTTACAGTGCACGTGCGTGGCATAGCTGTACTTGCTGTGTTAACCCATGCTCGCGCAACAACAAAGACGAACTACATTGCTCAAACTGCGGGCTCAGCCCACAAACCCGTCATCGGGCAGTCTGCCATGCTGGTTGCTGTCGACCAGCACCAGTCGCGCCAGCAAAGGCTGATCACGATCCAAAGGGCGTCCTCTCCCCACAGGGACGTGCTCCGATTGTGCGTGGGGAAGTCACTGAAACGACCGTGCCACGTTGCATCGGCGCGGCTTTTCCAAAGGAAAGAATTGGGCGGCATGAACACTTTGGCCTCCGATTGCTCCATCATCGCGAGGGCTTCTCGGTCCAATGACCGCGGCGGCGGGGCAGGCCCGCCCCGGCCTGCGCCCCGGCCCCTCCCTCTACCCTTGCCACGGCCCTTGCCGGCAGCATCGGCGGCGGCAGCCCGCCTCCGAGCTTTGCAGTCGACCATGTCTGCCACGAGCGTGGCTTTGCTCTCGCGGTCAGTCGACAACGTTTTCTGCTGCTTCGTTATCTCCTTCTCGTCCTCTGGGCTCAGCAACTTGGCGCCCTCGTCCACCTGCAGGAACTCAGCGGCGCACTCCTCGGGCTCCACTGCGACGCGCAAGGCCACGATGTTGAACACCTCGTCCTCTGTGAGCCCAGGGCGGACGTTCGATATCATGAAGAAGAGCGTTTCCGCGAGGGTTAAATTCCGTGGCAGCGGGATGTCGATGCGGGGCGCCAGCCACCGGAGGAGGGCGAGGTCGAAGTCGAAGAAGCACATGTTCGCTGCCACGGTCTTCAGCGGCTCTGGATCGCACGTCACGATGCCACGTATTGCTGGTGGCAGCCCGGAGTTGGGGTAGTGAAGCCGCGTCCACGCAGGCGATCTCCAGGAGAACCGCACTGCTTCGAATCCACTCCACGTGGTGACGGCCATCAGCGGCAAGCTTTCGATAGAAAGATCCAACTCGACCTCGAAAACACCAGGGTAGAAAGGCACCATGGCGAGCCGAGCAGGCCAAACAACAACGGCACTACTGGAGTAGTGGTCCATCGCCAGCAGCCAGGGGAACTCCGTATCCGAAGGCGCGCCGCTACGACGGAACAAGAGATTGTGCTTGGAGTTGCAGAAGGCACCCATTTTCAATTCATCAAAAGACCCCGGCTTTTCGGCTTCAGCTCGCAGCGCCGTTAAATCTGCTGCGGGCAGCCCTGTATTAGCTGCTGGCGGAGAGAACCACGGCGCCACGGAGCGGTTCGAGGACACGTCGTTTAGCTTCACGGTCGGCTCCTCTGCCTCGATCCCAAAAGACGCCTTCGATAGAGTCAGGCCCTTCGAGGCCAAGGGGGCCGGGGATACGATGTCCATCTTATTCCGCTGGTCCACCAGACAACTGCCAATCCCAACCGCCATGGCCCGCTCTGGGGTGCGATTCTTGGCGGCTGCTTGATATTGGGCTTTGTTCTTCTCGTAATTGTGCAACTCCTCCACTGGCGCAGATGAAATCATTGCCGACAACGTGGTTGTCAAGAAATCTTTCATCTCCGCAGAATGCTGAAAGGTCCCATCGGGCTTTTTGGTCTTATCGAAGCCGGCCACGAGCTGTTTTACAGCGGTCGTGCGAAAGGGTGACCTCTCCAACGCTTTGCGGACGGTAACTGTCTGGTTCGCTCGCTCTGACACCCGCTTGTAAGCATCGAGATCAGAATAGAAGCTCCTTGCGAACTTCGAGGCCGCGTCGTCGTCCAACAAAGCCACCGCCGATGACTGAGGGTAACCAGCCGTGCAATACAACAAACGGCGTGACCGCGTCCGTACCATGGTCAACGCGACGTTGCCAGCAAGGCTCGCGAACTCACCCTCAATGTATGCGTGGCCCTGCCGCTCCGCCTCCGCAGCGCAGGGATCCACGTCCAAGAACTTCCCGCTACGCAAAAACGAGTCGGAGCGCAAGATGCGCCGACCCCATGGCGAGGCCACCTAACTGTAATGCTCATTGGGACCATGTGTCCGCTGCTGCCCATGGGACCGATGCCGCTCATGAGACCCCGAAGGCCCATGGGGGCTCTCCCCACAGAAGGTGGTTACGGCTCACAGGGCCGTCGGGGTTCCTGGGGCCCGCGGGGTCCATGGGAACCATGATGCAAAGAGGGCTCAGAGGGCCCACAGCGTTCATACCGCTTTCAGTGCCCATCGGGGTCACATGGGGATAATCAATTCCGTAGGGCTCATTGGGTTCCTGGGGCTCCCAATGCCCATATAGAGAATCGGGCGCGAAGACCACGTAGGGCCCACAGGGGCCATAAAACCCGTAAGGCCCATAATGTTCATAAGGATCGTCGAGCCCATGGGTCTGATAGCGCCCATACGGCTCAGAGGACTCATGGAGCTCACACAGCCCACACCGTAGGCCCAGAAGGCCCACAAAGCTCACACTGCCCAACACACACGCGAAAGCGTTCAACAAATGTCCATCGTGGTAGGCTTTTGCTGCCAGTGTGTTGCATGACAGTGCCAATTGAGTTTTGGCGTGCAACTCCAACCTCTTCTCAAAAGCTCTGGCCCACCGAGTCCAACAACGTGTAGTAGGGTGCCTGGCAGGTGGTCCCAAGGCTTTGGGAGTGCTGGCGGACGGTGCGGACTAACGGACCGTGCTTAATCCAACCAGCCCTCTCGGCGTAGGTGGTTCAGCCCGTTCGCTCTTCCAACTTCCATTAGTGGCCCCTCTCTCTACCCTCTCACCTGGACTTCGCCGCAGTCCCTGCAATACCCTGCAAAAAGGGGGGGCACAGACTTCGCGCAGACGCTGCAATACCTTTCAATACCTTCCAAAACGACCCTGCAATACCCGGCAATACCCTCCAAGCCAGAGCTCCGCAGTATCCTGCAATACCCTGCATAACGACCTTGCCTTGCCCTGGAAAACCTTGCAATACTTTGCAAACGCCCCTGTCATGCCTTGTACTGGCCCTGAAACCCCACCAGCTCTCTGGGCGGGGATCGTTGATGAGATTCTCTCTTCCCTGGAGGTTTCTCGGGGTACTCTCAAGGCTTCGAGAGGGCCCCTCGTACATGGGCCTTCCCGTAAGGCTTCTGATAAGGCACCGCGCTAGGCTTCCAAACCTCGCGAACCGAGCTCCCGGGCTTCCCCCATAGGGCTGCACATAGAACTGCACAGAGCGCAGCTCACGGGTGCCATAAGGCGCAAGTGGCTCACAAGGGCCACTATGTTTGGTAGGACTGAAAAAAAATCACGGGGTCAACGAAGCTCATATAGAGCCGGGCCACTTGGGGGCGTCGGTAACTCCAGGGAGCCCAAAACCATCGGGAAGTCCAGGTGGTGCAATTGAAGCCCCCCCTCGTGAAGCGATCCCCCCCCTGAAGCTCAATATGGCTATGGCACCCCTCCCCCACAAGGCGGCGGGGGGGGGGGAACCGTTGCGTTTCCAATTCCCCTTCAAGGGGAGCGGCAGTTTGACGAGTTGCGTCAGCAGTGCAACGGGCACGAAATTGTCACGAAACCTTTCTTGCTACACGATATCTTGCACCACTGGATTTCCTAAACGGCGCTCGCGTGGCAACCCGTTAAAATCCGAACCCGAAGTAAACGTTGCAATGACGTCACGATTAGCACCGCGGCACCAATCCCAGAAGGGCCAAATATTGAGTTCCAAATCTTCCTTGTATAACGCTGCGTGGATGGCGCTCAGACCATCGCCACCCTGATCTGAACTCAAGACGCACCTCGGCCATTGCGACCAAACGCTTGCATCCCAAGCACCGTCGCCCAAGACAGGCTCGATGAAAACTAGGCCGGGCAGGGACGTGCTACATCGCAGCTGGTTGTCGACCTTTTCCAACCACGTTTGCGTGGAGATCCGCTGGCGTTTCCGAGTTTTCCACCCGGGCTGATCCTTCTCGTGGGCGGTGTCCCTCTTCAGCCAGGCCCTGGCGCGCTGGCACTGCGCGGCTCGTTTGACTGCCCGGGAATGGCGGTCGGTGGCCTTCTCCGCGGACTTGAACGGCACGCAGACCTGGCCGCCGCGGGGGGGGCCGTCAAACGACAGGCCAACCCAGAGAAAAATGTCTCCAGAATGGGTCCAAGACGACAGATGTGTATACGAAAAAGTGAAGGACACTCCACGAACGGCAACGTATATAGAACTGGCGCATCCAGAGGACGCAGATATGTATACGCCAATCACTCGCGAGAGCGAGCGTTTTCATATACACTACTGGGACGGACTGATCCAAAACACAGAAAATATTGTCCTGGACACTCCTGCTTTCCTGGGGAGGCCCGCGGACCTGCGGGACGAGGATCATGCCAACGTTATTCGGCAGCGCCATGATGCCGTTCAGCAGCCCCACCCTGCCGATCTGCGCCTTGTCCACCGACATGCTGAAAGCCGTAACAGTCTCGGTGGCCAAACGCATGCCTCCCACGTAACGAAGAAGTTCTCTGCGGAGGGCGTGTGGTTGATCGAGGACCTGTTCAATCTGCTTGGCATGCGCTTGCACGCAGCGTTCATTGCATGGCCCCTTTTTGTAACTCCAGAAGGTGGCGTACTCGAGATGACGAGCGAGCGCCCAGACTGCCTGGGCAAACAGAGACCGCAGCGCGACCGACCCCGCCAGCAGACGCAAAACACTACCTACAGGAAGCTTCTCGGGGATCTCAGCGTTGAGTTGTTTCTGGAGCGCGCGGTGCCAGTCCCTGGCCACCTTGAAGTTGCTCAGCGGCGGGGCAAGGAGAGCGCGCAAATGCACGGACCCGTCAACCCCCAACGGAAGGTACCCGTCGGGATCGGCATCCTTCGCGGGCCATTTGGGTACCCACGCCTGGTCGAGGTACACTGGCAACGTTGCCTCTGGCATGGCCAAGGCCGAGAGGAGAAGTCCATCTAAAAGATCCTTGGACGCTCCTCTGTCCCGGTCTCCTTTGAGTCCACCCTTGGCCGGGGAAGCGCCTGCCCATCGGGCAAGCAGGGCGAGCAAGGCTGCAGATGAAAAGTAAGACCCCTCAAAGAGTGGAAGGCCGTGTTGTGGGCGGAGGATGTTGACATCCTCGGACTGGCTCGCGTGTGCGGATGGGAGAACGTGGTGGTCGGCATTCCCCAAGAGCTCGCCCACAAATCTGTGCCACGAGCCGAAGGATGCATAGCTCCACTTGGAGCGCTGCTTTGAGAAACTCTGGAGGTTGAGGGCGTCGTAAAGCTCATGCGCAGAGGCGAAGAATCTGAAGCCACTCCGAGGCCAGGACAGCAAAGCAAACTTCAACTCCGCTTCCAAGAGCATCGGGCCCATTGGAATACGAAGGGTCACGTCTATGAACTGCTCCATTTTCTTTGACAGTGAGAACTGCTGCGCCACCTTCCCCTCGCTCATCACCTGCACGTGAAAGCTGCCATCTTCATGTTGTAGCAAGACATTATTGAAACGGTCCTCCAAGGCGACGGCCTCTAAGACACCGTCGGTATCCTCCACGGCGCCCCAACCGTCCTCGTCGACGATAATGCGCCAAGATGCTTCGGGAAATGTGGCCTGTTCCAATGTCATCGTGTGCACTACCGTGGGTACGTTTGTCTGCGGATTCCTGAACAACCGTAAATATTGACCATTCGGCACTTCTTCGCCACAATCGCCAGCCTGAACTAACTTGGCGACGTTGGCCGACGCTGCGTCAGTGCCTGTGGTGGCCGAGGCCCCTACACCATGCGACAACGGAGCTACTTCTGAAGAACTGGCCGGCCCAAGCATGGAACTACGAAGTTGTTGGACACAGGCAGTGTGAATTCTCTTCCCTGTCGAATGCCAGTTTTGAGCCAATACGGGATGGCAATGCGGTTGGGGACGCAAGCCATGACAACGATGAGAGACATTTCCGGGGCACTTCGCTAAGTAACAGCGGCCAAGATTAGCCCTGGTGCTCAGACAAAGCATCGTACTCCAAGGACGCGCGAGGCCCCCCGCAGCCGGAACCGACAAACTATGGAGCGACGCGGGTGCCCATTTCCGCGGCTGTCCGCATCTCCTACGTGTGCCCCCTTCCTCGTCTACCTCCGCCTCCCCCTCCTCCTCCCCCGATCGCTTGGGACTGTTTCAGCGAAGTCCCCAGGCTGTGCCCTAGCTGGCCTACGCACCCGCAAAATTTGCTGTTGTTTGTTATATTTCTATTTCCCCGGGCGGATGCCAAAACACGGATGCCGCCACACACAGGCGATGCCAAAACACGAACGCCGCCCCACAGAGCCGATGCCAAAACAAGGATGCCGCCACACACTGGCGATGCCGCCACACACAACCGATGCCAGAAACGCCTTGACAGCCGATGCCAAAACACGGATGCCGCCACACACAGCGAACTCTCCTGGCAGGCACGGGGGAACGCATTCAAAGAGGAGGAGAGAGGAAGAGAGAGAAAGAGAGAGAGAAAGAGAGAGAGAGAGAGAGGCCAGCACACGCACCACGACGAGACAAACAGATCACTCAAAATGGTCCCTCCAGGCCCCCGTGGAGCATGGAGATGTGTAAAGATGAGAACGCTTGCCAGGCGAAACTCTGCATGTAGTTAGGGGTGCCACCACACGGGGGCGGCTGCCGAATACGCTCGAGGCAGAGCGGGTCTCAGGTAACTCCAGGTGCGTGTGCGCGCGCAGTGTGCACCATTGGATGTCCACAATAACTGCTGCATGCCAGAGCACAGAATGCACCAGTGAATTTCCTAAACTCGTGTCGGGCACCCCTTCCTATCGGATTCGGCCCGCCCAACAGTCGCACAATGCATTCGACATGTCATGCGTAGGCCTCCCAGGCCTCGTCCGTAGGGCCCCGAAGTTTTGTGGGGAAGGCCACGGAGCCCTCGTACATGGGCCTTCCCGTGAGGCTTCCGACAAGGCACCGCACTAGGCTCCCAAACCTCGCGCACCGAGCTCCCGAGCTTCCCCCATAGAGCTGCGCAAAGCGCAGCTCACGGGTCGCACAAGGCGCATGTGGCTCACAAAGGCCAGTATGTCCCGTAGGACTGAAAAGGCTCACGGGGTCAACGAGGCTCATATAGAGCCGGGCCACTTGGGGGCGTCGGGAATTCAAGGGTGTCCAAGAGCAGCAGGAATTCACGGTGGTACAATTCCAGCCCCCCCTCGCGAAGCGACCCCCCCCTTAATTTCAATATGGCTATGGCACCCCTCCCCGAAAGGCGGCGGAGGGGGAAATCCGTTACGTTTCCAACTCCCCTCCAAGGGGGGCGGCAATTTGATGAGTTGCGTCAGCGGTGCAACGGGCACGAAATTGTCACGAAACCTCTCTTGCTTCACGATAGCTTGCACCACTGGATTTCCTAAACAATGCTTGCGTGGCAACCCTTTGAGATCCGAACCCTAAGAACTTAAAAGGAGGTACGGAAATTGAAAGGGGAACGGGAATTTCCAAAAGGATACGGGAATGTCAGGGGGTACTGGACTTTACAGGGTACGGGAGTTTAACGGGGGTGCGGTAATTTAAGGGCGCACGGGAATTTAAGGGGGTACGGGAATTTAAGGGGGTACGGAAATTTAAGTGGGTACGGGAATTGAAGGGGTACTGGAACTTAATGGGGGTGCGGGAGATTAGGAAGTACAGGAATATAAGAGGGTACGGGAATTTATGGGGGCACGGGGAGGGCGGGGGGTAAGGGAACGTAAGGGGGTACGGGAATTTGATCGGGGCGCGGGAATTTAGAGAGGACGAGAGTCTGAGAGGGTACGGGAATTTAAAGGGGTACGCGAATTTAAGAAGTTGAATCACTCTCGGGGCCCCCTTGGGGCCCTCTTTGGCATGCAGTATGCTGGTACACTGCATGCTGCCACACTTCCCTGAGCAAGGCAACTCGCCCAAGCAGCTTCCATGGATGAGCTGACGGGTTGCGCGAAGCGTCAAGACTTTAGGGGTGTACATAGGCTCAAACAGACTTGCGAGGACAATACACATGTAGAGCGGGCTTGCTCGGAGGCTCGTAGAGACGGGTCCGAATGACCAGTAGGGCCCACAAGGCCCCCACAATCATAAGCTCCATGAGTAACGAAGGGCTCCCAAGGCTTAGGCCCCTGTTAGCCATAGGGCTCACAATTCATAATGCCCCGACGTTTCAGAAGGCACATGCATTTCATCGGGCGCATAGGGCCCGCATGCCTCAAGAGACCCATGATGCCCACAGAACTCACATGGGTCGTCCAATTCTGAAGCTCAAAAAGCCCGCGCGGCCCAAAGGATTCCTCAGGCTAGTGGGGTTCAGACGGCTGAGACAGCCCATGAGCCCCACAGGGCTCACAGGGCTCATAGGGGGACACATGGTAACGAAAAGCTTGTGGGGGACAAATGGTAAGGAAAATCTCGGGGGGGACAAATGGTAAGGAAAACTGCGGGGGGACAAATGGTAACGAAAAGCTTGTGGGGGACAAATGGTAACGAAACGCTCGTGGGGGCCAAATGGTAACGAGAAGAAGCTCGTGGGGAACAAATGGTAACAAAAAGCTCGGGGGGGACAAATGGTGACGAAAAGTGCGGGGGGATGAGTGGTAACGAAAACCTTGTGGGGGACAAATGGTAACGAAAAGCTTGCGTAGGACAAATGGTAACGAACAGGTTGTGTAGTCAAAGCCGCAGGGAGGCTCAGAGGCTCATGACGTCACTAAGCTCAGTGGACTCGTTGGCATCATAAGGCCGATGATGCCTTTGGGCTTTGGGGGCCCGACAGTGCATAGAGCTGAAAGGGTTCGTAGGGCACATCGTGCGAAAACTGCCCATGTGGCCCATTGACTTGCGGGGCGCGACAAGCCCAGAGGGCCCGCAAGGCCCGTGAGAACCCACAAAACTCGCAGGGCCCATGGGGCGCGCAAGGCCCAGGGGGCTCCCGAAACTCATCGGCCTCACAGGGCTCAATGGGCCCATAGAAAGCCCGAAAAATAATAGGACTAAGTTTACTCGATATTCCGCCGCCGGTTGGACGCGCAACGCGGATTCCACTGGTGGTCTCTCCTTTCCCTCCCCCCCAGCTCCGGCCCATCCTTCGATGCGCAATGCGGGGGCCCATGAGGCACGAAAACGGATACACGCGCGCAGTAAGAAGCTTTGCTGTGTGATAAAGGAGGGGTGGGAGGCTGAAGGGGAGGGGTGGCATGGATATAATAAAGGATGCACGGAGGGAGGGCGGGAAGAAGGAGGAAACGATGCTGTTTTTTTTTTTGATGTTGTTTCTCAGACGTCGGCATCGGTAACCGTATGATGACACTCTCGCTCAAAAGGGCGTTGCAGGCCCCATCCTGCGCCGCTCCGAAGAAGGACAAACGTCGTGCAACTGCAGGCCCCGCGGCACCTCGTAGCCATCCCCAGCCCCTCCATTTCCTCGCCCCCCTCTGGCTACCCTAATCCGCGCCCACCCTGTGGCCCATCCCCACTGCACATGTACACGCTCTGCGCAGCTGGGCCCAGCAGGCGAGGAGAGGGGACAATCACAACAGCACAACAGCTTTCCGATCCAAAGATCTCCAACCAAGAGCCCCCCTGCCCCTGGGCAGCGCCCGCGGCAACCGCCGAGAGGAGCCCGCAAATGGAAAAAACGCACCTCCAAGGTGCTGCACTGACCCCGCCCGCGGGGAGTGCAACCCAGCGAACCCACCTCGACCTACGCCGGCGCCGCCGGCGCCGCCGCAGGAGCGGGGGCCTTGAGGACGACCTTGCGCCCGTCCTTGCGCTCCTTCTTTTTCTCCGCCAGCTTCGCCAAGCCGCCCTGCGCCCTCGCCTTCTGCTGCTCCTTGATCGGCGTGGCGTAGGCCGCCGCGTTGGCCGCCTGCATGGCGGAGTCGCTCGTCGACGCCACCTTCTTCAGCTCATCGCTCTGCTTGACGGCCTCATCCTGGAACGGCTTCGACTTGCCAGTCCAAGGCTTGAAGCGCAGCTCGTGAGGGCCCTCGCGAGCGACCTTGGAGAAGAACGACTCTGCTGGGTACGATGTCTTGCCCTTCTCAAGCTTGCACCCCATATCCGAATAGGTGTGGACGAGCTCCCACCCGTCCACAATCGGAACCTCCGTGTCCAAAGGCTTGGTGGTGCCGCTCGGCCGATGCGTGATCGTCACAGCCCTGCCGCTCTCCCAGTTGAGCACGTACAGCCCCTGAGACCAGTCAACGACGCCAGTCTTGGAAATGAAACAACCCGTGCCGTGCCCCTTCACCACGAATTGGAACCTGTCGCCAATTTGCCCACCGCGTGCAATGAGGGTTCTCTCGAGAACCGTCTGCGAAATGCAAACATCCGGAATAACGCACTGCATGCTGATGGCGAAGAACATCGTGTCAAGGTTCTTGAACAATTGAGGGTCCTTCGTAGTAGCCTCGCCCAAAGATGCGGCGGTCACCTGCAGCCGAGCGCACCAGAAAGTGATGCGCCACGTCTCATCCAAGCAGTGCATCACCGATATCGAAGTAAAGCACAAACCAACGACAACGCCAGCCTTGCGACGCTTCGCCTCTCGCTGTTCCTCCATGAAGTTGAGAGCGTCGGCACGGCCTGCAGGGTCTTCCCACGCCAGGGTGATGATGTCGCAGAGCCTCTTGCGGTTCCTCTTGGCCGCGTCATCCAAGGCGTCGTCTCCTGTCTTGCGGACGGGGGGGACGTGCTTCAGAATGGGGCACGCGACCATGTCCCGCGCGCTGCCGCTCGATCCAGCAACCATGGTCTCTGCCGGCGAAAACGGGCCGCAAACTACAGCAAGAAAGATGCCG